TAAATTTGGAAAGAGGAAAAAAAAGGGACATAAAGAATTCAGAAGATTAGAATTTAGGAGAACAAAAACTGGATGCACCTGCACTATTGCAAACGATTTCGAGTCATGTCATTCGAGGTCTCTAACTATCGGTTACTATCGTCTCGCGGATCCCAATCAGACAGTCCTAGACCTACCAACATGGCTCAGTTCATCTGTCAGTGACATCATGGATTTGTGCCATGTTTTGGTCTGACCGCCCCTAGCTTTCTTCCATCCTACTCCTACATTGTTCGTCGGGGCAGTCAGTGGTTGGGCAAACGTAACACATGTCACAGTCATCTCAACTGATGAAGTTTCACTATTTTATCAATTGATTTTCCATCTTTACCTAATACCCGTTTCCTAACAACTGCATTACTTACTCGGTGGTCCCAGGATATACGAGCAATGCATCGAAGACACCTATGATCAAATACTAGTAACCTACGAGTATCTTCTACTCTTACCGGCCATGTTTCACTGCCATAAAGTAGAACGGAACGAACTGCTGCTGAGTAATCTTGTCCTTTGCTTAGTAGACGGACATCTCGCCTACGCCATAAATGACACGTTGGCAAAGGCTAGTCGAGCCTTCTGTATGCGTGCTGATATTTCGTCACATCAGACCACAAAGGCTTATGAAACTCCCGAGATAAGTGAAGTGGTCGACACGCTCGACTACTTCACTCCCTATGCAACCCAATCCTGAAGTAACATTTTGCATTTAGATGAGGAGAATCGCATCCCGAACATGCTTGCATTGTTCCTTACGGTGGTCAGAAGACTGCGTTTTGTCAACAAGTGAACCTCCCAGTAAAAGTTAAACTCCTAGAAATTTAGATGAGGAAAGTGTTATATCTAAAAGGACGTCAACAACAAAGTTAAACAAGGATGGAGAGAGTGGACAGCCGTGACGAACACCATTCAAGGTAATCAAATCTGATGACAGTTCGCCATAAGCTCTCACTCGACCAGTTGTGTTTGAGTAGAGAGCCTGTATAAGGTTAATGTAATTTCTTTGGTACTCCTTTCAGTGACAAACACTGCTACAGAACCTCACGATCAACAGAGTCAAATGCCGCCTTAAGGTCGAAAAATACTATCATTATGGGGCGTCTGAATGTTCTAGGACCTGACGTAGTTTGAATATCTGTTCTATACAGCTACGTCCAGGTCGAAAACCAGCCTGGTTTTCTTTAGTCTGCTCTTCACGCGATTTAGTTAGGCGTCGAAGTATTATTGAAGCTAATATTTTAGACACCATATTAGTTAAACTGATCCATCTGTGGTTGTCACACCAGGACTTTTGTCCTTTCTTACAGACTGGCACAATCAGCGATTGGGATTACGTCCAGTTTCCAGGTTCTACCTAAGACCTCAGTCAATCTCACTGCTAATACTGTACAGCCTTCCTTAAAAATCTCAATGATGAACCTGTCAGGGCCTGCTCGCCGTCGATTCAGATTTCCTATGGCATTCTCAACCTCGTAAAGAGTTGGAGGACTTATATCAATTTGTCATTCAGACCGATTGTAGATCGTCTGAACAGTTGTCTGTTGTTATCTATTGCCTCTGCCTTTTCCATCTCTCTTGCTTTCGCTACCCGCCACTGTTCGCGATCACTTCGTAGGCTTCTTATCAGCATGTGCTTAAGCTCACTCCACACTTCGTCACGTTCAGAGCCAGATGGGATGAGTATTCGAGCGTCCATCAGTGCGGTAGACGCTGCTGAGATTTAGTGTTTCTCCCTAACCTTATGGTTTACCTTACTAGTAGATATCACTGCAGTTTCCACGGCTTTTCGGATATCATTCCTAGCTGCCTCGGGGTGAGCATCACCTACATAGCTGCCTAACTGTTGTTTTAGTTGTTCCTGAAATGTATTCTTAGCCTGGCTATCATTAAGTAGAACCCTAAGAGGTTATCTTGCAGTGTCTTTCCTACATCCAATAAGACGCAGACAAATACGCGCTCGCACTAGAGCACGATCTGAATCTAAACATGTGCTCCGTAACGAGTAACAGTCTTCTATCGAGCCCCTCCATCTGTGGCTGACAGCAATGTGATCTAGTTGGGACGAAGTCGGGGATCGACATGTCAAAAGATGCCTTTCCTTATGCTTAAAGTTAGTACTTGCTAGAAACAGGCGGTTATCTGAGCACAGCTGCAACAGACGATCGCCATTATTTGTTCTTTGAGCCACGACACTATAAGATCCACCCAGGTGTCTTTCCTTTTCACTTAGTTTACCTACTTGAGCATTAAAATCACCAGCCACTATTACCACATCAGAAAGCCTAACTTTGTGGAGGAAGTCAGAAAGCATACTGTAAAACTTATCCCTTACCTCATCCGAGCTGCAGTTAGAAGGGGAGTAAGTACAGAAGAGGAGTGGTTTCAGAAAACAGGGAATTACGTTCCGCGTACTCATCTTTTGCATTAGCGGCGCAAGGTGGTAAAGTAACGTGAGAAGTGTTAGTCATGGAGATAAGAGGGCTATTAGGAGGTGTAAGAAGGATTTGATTGTGTCCAAATTGGTCTCGTGTACTGTTACGGGTATGAGGGCTGATACCACTTCCCGGCTGCCCACACCGTGGAAGGTTATTCTTTGAGGAACCTGAAAACGAAGTTCAATTGATGTTGGTCTTAACGATCTGGGAGCGTGACTACAGAGTCCAAGAGACAACTACTTGAGGCCGGTCATACACGGCGTATTGTGGGAAGTTTTTAACATGTTAGCTCCGTTTTTCAAAAGGCCTTACCACCTGGGACGGAAATCCGTGAGGTAAGGTGAGGCGTGACAATTTTAGGGTCGACCTTTTCCAACCCCTTCCTTGCGAGAAGGCAGCGTCACTGCAGATGCTGATTGCCCGAGGGAAACACCTTACTGCTGTCACACCCCTCTACAGTCAGCAGTACGACTTCGCCCTCAGACCTTGAGTTGCTGCTTTTAGTCTTACCGTTCTCCAATCGACCTGCCTGGCATGTTAGAACCTGCAGGAACATGTATTCCAGCCAATATAGCTCGGTTGGGTCATCACGATCGGCAAGCCCGACCACCACGTCAAGGTAGCAGCCACGGTTGGGAAATATGTTTATAGGATTTGTTGGTGTAGTATGATCAAGAATTTCGAAAAAATCCTTTACGTTATTGAAAACAATGGGTTCTGAATCTAGGTTTTGTCGTGATTGATATTCATTAGTATAATTTAGCTGAAGAGAATATCAATGAGATTGGTTTTATGTATAAGTTGTATTCATCACGGATTGATTTGAGTCATGGTACCATTAGGAACTAAGGAATAATGAACCATTATTCTATCCTAGTGTGAATCCCTCATTAGTGCGTATCTGAGACTCCACCAGCAGTTGAACTCAGGATCTATACGTCTTGCAGCAAAGATCTAATCCAGTTTTCACTGGTACCTCAAGGGTAACCAATCTGTAACAAATACGAACATAAATGTTGTCATTTGTTTTTGGTAAAATGATGGGATTTACGATTGTAACTAGTTAGAAAGTCCAATAGATATTAAAAGCAAACAAACATATTTTATTCAAGTGAATGAATTACTTCTTATTCTAAAATGTACCTGTTTAAAAACTGTGTAAAGATATCAGCGATTGAAATTCAAATAATTCCAACGTTTCGTCCAGCTAACTTGTCTGGACTTCTTCAAGGTAATAATCGAAATCATCAAACAAATATATGGCTTTTAACAATCAAAACTATACTGTTTTAAACCAATCATATTTGGATGAGTCAATTACATGATCCATAAACAGATCCTAGTGGTTACTATTCATCTATTCTTCGTTCGGATTCAGTCTATCTATAAAGACGTATGATTTGTTAGCAATCCACTTTTGTCTAGTTAGACTGGTCAAGTATTAGGAGAGCATGAATAATAGTTAAATCTGATGGTAGACTGTAATAATATCTCCGTGTTACATCGAGTTATTTAAAGAAACGACTATTGATTCCCTTTACCTAGGGCTTTATATCGATTCCAAATAACAAATATTAATCAAAAAAATACTATCTTACACATACACGAATACAAAAAGCAGTGGAATGACACAATATATGTTCATTGATATCATGGCACGTAGGGAACTACGGAAAAGTATTCGTCAGGAAGAACCTTAATTCTGGATAGAAGGGATATTGGAAATACCAGAGAATTTCTAGGAACATGACTTTCAAGTCAATCGACAATCAATAAACACGTCAAGATAGAACTAATTTACCGACCCATCCAAAAAATGTCAATCAACAACAGAGTACGAGATATGTATTCTACTCCTAAGTCTGGTACTTGACCTCCTATCCGATTTCCATCTCCCCAGACTACTTCCATATTCAAATTGAAAAGCAAAGAATGGGAGTGTAGAACAGAAGCTTTACTTTAAGTAAGTACAGAAAGTAACCCTATGCCTAAGATTCAAATGGCCTTGACCTTCTAAGAGCCTCCAAAATATGCTATTAAATATGGTTAACATGAGGCGCTTTCAGATTGACCTTTCTAAACAAAAAGTGTGGGTAAAACTCGTCCCTGTGGTAAGATTCTCATATTATTTTAATGTTTGTTGTACTTTATAACTTAAAATCTAAAAAAATTTCCACTGATACTCACTCATGACATTATCTTGAATTTCATATCAACTAGGTGTTCTGATTATCGCTCATTGTCTCTTTACTATCATCTTAAAAATATAAAAAAGTACTGTTCAATTTTATCGATTGTGATCGAAATCTCGAACCGATCTAAGTTAGACCTGGAAGCACTGAACGGCCGTTTCATCCTAGTCTTGATGCCGGCTCAGTGGACTAGAGGTTAAGTGTTCTCACGAAAGATCAAGTCGTCGATGGATGATCATTACTAAGTAGTGCCATACTAGTAAGAAACGGACGCCCAGTGCTTTTAGATCTTCAATGGTGGTGTAACTTGGATCAGTTCATGACTTCAGAGAACTTCAACAATCTCCACAACCACATACTGAAAACTTAACGATTATGTTAAGCATGTTGTTTCCTTTTCTTGTTATTTATATCACCTCAAACTAAACTTCATAGATTACGGTATATGAAACTCTTTAAAATGATATTACCAACGCGAATTTAGGTTGTTCGTAGCTGATAAGAAAGAACACTTGAAATATAATGATGAATTCATTTTATTTTATATGTCTTGTTCTTAGCGTTTTATTTATATTTATTAAGGAATTAAGATGTATGGAAATAAACAAACAAATAAATAACACGAAAAATGAAAGATAAACTCAAAAACAAACAAGAAAACAGGAAAATAAAAATCACAAAACTGCCAGAAGAGCACACACACACACATACACTGAGTATGTATGTATAACACTGTTCGTTAAAAGCAAAATGATCGAAAATGATCATGATTGATTTGTAAAAAATACTAATTAATCAATAAATACAATACAGTTAAACAAAATATGTTGAAAGGTTTGCTATTTTTCAGATAATTAAAGAAAAAAACTTGAAGTCTATCACATCTTGTATGAATGAATGCTGAATGGGCATTAGAATAAATAAGAGGTAATAAGAAAACAATTATAATGTAGTACATATTTACAAAAACATCCACAAATAGACATAAACAGACAATGTAACTCACTGAACCAAATACTCAGGACTTTAACTGATAACCTATTCATAGGTAAATAGATTTAAAATGATGATAACAATGATACTATTATTCAGCTGATTTAATGGAAATGAATAAGGATGAACATGAATCTGAATGATGATACAATGATTGAACGTGGAATACCTTAACAAATAAGCCATTATTTCACAATCAATAAGATCAAATGAATAAATGAACGGATGAATATACACTATTATTATAATGTTATGAATGGGGAGTGAATATGATAAGTGGGGGAAAGAGGAAAACTGACGAGTAAGAGAGAGAGAAAGAGAGGGAGTGAAATGGATGACAATCAAAATAAACAAATCAACGACTATTGTACAAACAGTCGTGTTGCACAAAAAACGAGAGAATTAACAAAATTACATAAATACATACATACATACACACACACGCAAACATTTATATCATTTTGTACTTTTAAAATGTTCTATTTTTTCTTTCTATTATCAATAATCCGGATATCGTACTAATTCGAATAGATCACCTGTTTCTACTTGATATGAATATAAATTACGATTTGGATATTTTAATTCTTCTGGACCTTGAATTTGTGACATAACTTGATCAAAATAAAATAATTTAAAATGTTTAATTTCATGTTGATTAGTAATATTGAATAAATTACAGAAATGACGTTTAGCTTGTGATACTTTTAAATTGACATTTATATTATACCAAACCTGAAAAATAAGAAATAGAAAAGGAAATGAAATCATGAAGAATGATGTAATAATATATTAGATGATATTGTTATTAAGTTTTTGATTGAAAATCTGAAAGCATTAGACGACCGATTTGTCCTAGTATGGGACTCCTCAGTAGTGCACATTCTTGATCCCGTTCGCGAGATTCGAACTCAGAGCCTTCAGTCTCACGCGCGAATGCTTAACCTCTAGACCACTGAGCTGGCCGGCATCCAATGGTTAATGTTTAGACTCAACCAATCCACATAATTGCGCGACCAACTCCCATTGTACTGAGGTAGATATCTATCTCCACTGGTCACGGAATGATCTAACATCAATCAGTTCATGATCTTAATCAAAAACTTAATAATTTTCACAACCCTATACAGATAATATTTTTATTAACAAGGTCGAAAAGTATTTTAGAAATAAAATGGGTTTTGTCCTTTTTTTTTAGGTATACACCTTAATCTTCAGTGTTGATGATGTTTACAACACCCAGTAATTATTGCTTTAAATGTTAGGGTATTATTACATAAGAATACTATTGATCAAAGTGAGTATAAAACTTGTTCATTATTATTCATAAAAGTGGGTATTTTTCCCATTAATAATATTCAGGATGGAAATCAAGCAGTCACTGTTGGCTACCGGATATTGATATTGCTTGTATGTAAGCGGGAATCGATTAAATACAATTTTAAATCTCAATAACGGGAGATTGCGAACTCCAATAAATGTAAAATTTAATTTGTAAAATGTGATTTCATAGATGTTATCCCCATATTCTATTGTGATATTTATACGTTACAGGTTTTAGATCATAGATGTCTTTCCAGTATTACTCACGTTCTAAGGAATGACCGGAGTGAGCAAACTTAAGGTTAAGCATAGAGTTACTAGGGAAAGATACGAAATCGATTGATGGGATTATAAATTTTCGCCGAGTAAGGTTACAGTTAGGACATAAGTTACATATTCCTAATCATCCCTCGCCTTGATAATGGAAAGTTTCATGGTGTAGTCGTCGGTTGGAAAAAAAACTTCGAGTGGGTAAACCAATACATAGCGTTAATCCATGACGTTATTGACTGTTGGTTTGTTCTATGTTGGCATGTGAGGATCACCTGGTTGGGCTGTGAGTAATAATCTCGATCAGTGGTTGGAGAATGGATGACATGGCTCAGAATTATCTACAAAGACGTGGATGCACTTATTCTTTATCTTTGTCTCGATATTGAATTAATTTATATAATCCTTTTCAATCAGCCTTTTCAAATTCTATTCTCAATATTTAGTCCTTTCTACTGTCATTGCTACTAAATTATTTTGTTCTCTTTTAATATACATCTTTTTAACTTCATCATATCGAGCTAATATGCTATGGCAAATGAGTCCAACAGGCATCTGCCTTAGGCTCTACGTAAATGATAATTGACTACCATGACGTTCTTCAATATGAGTTAAATGATAGTGTTTATTATATTAACCCTACAATAGTTATGTATCCTGGTAAGGATCAAACGGTCGAATTTTAATGACAAATATTTACCAAAACAGTTAACGAGAAATATAATATGATTTCAAGTGTCGTACATTACAATAGAACACCAATTGACTGATTCTAAAAAAGTTTAGTTAATCGTTATAAAGAATTTGAAACCTGGCACATATTTGCATTACTACGACCCAGCTATTCCTATTGCTTAGTTTTCTTGGATGCTACTTCATTCGACAAGTCTCCAAAACAGAACACGGTTGAATAGGAGCATAATCATATTCCAAATACAAGGGTTGGATAGTAGTACGAATTACAATAAGAAAAATGTTAACATAATTATAATTTTTACATAAGAAGGTTCTAGAGTATTCTACAAGTCACCGCCAATGCTAATTGGTTAAAAGGATAGCCAAACAGTGTGATCTAATACAATTCTGTAAGGAATGTGCTTTAATCCAATCTAAATCATTCTAACACATACTAAAATAAAACAACTATCTAATACATTTTAATTTTTTTTTTATTGATAATTTTCTAGCTACAGTTAATTCATGATGTAAATGATGAAAATCACTGGGGCTTTTTTTTTCATTCTATTCGATCAAATTTCAAATGAAATAAAGAAGAAATGGGTTAAGGTCAAAATATTAGAAAAAAAAAAGTTTGATCATTATTCACTTTGTAGATTAAAAGTGTTTTAAGGGTTTTCACGTGATCTGATAGATAGGATAATAATAATATTAATAATAAACATATGATGAAGTTGACCTTCAAGTTGTAATCAACCAATCAAATGTTTTTTTTTGTTGTAGCACGAAAAAAAAGGACGTAGAGGTAGAAAAATAGGCAAATCATTCTAATTCTGCATATGATATTAAACACAATTGATAGATAATGAATAAATATTATCAGTTTTTATACATCTAGAATAGATGTATAATACAAAAAAAGTATCAGTATAGGGTTGTGAAAATTATTAAGTTTTTGCTTGAGATCATGAACTGATTGATGTTAGACCATGCCGTGACCAGTGGAGCTAATCCGTGTCGGGTAGAAACAAGTGTCTGCCTCAGTACAATGGAAGATGGTTGGTTGAGTTTAGAGAATAACACCATTAGATGCCGGCTCAGTGGTCCAGTAGGTTAAACGTTCGCGCGTGAGACCGAAGGCCCTGAGTTCGAATCCCGCGAGCGGGATTGTGGATGCGCACTACTGAGGAGTCCCACGATAGGATGAAACGGCCGTCCATTTCTTCCAGGTTTTCAATGATGGTCTAACATCAATCGGTTCATGATCTCAATCAAAACAAAAAAGGTATGTTTGTTTTTTTTCTAGATAAAAAGAAAGAAACAACCTTTATTATTATAAAGCGGAATATTATGAAGATTGTAGAATTTTTATAGTTCCAAATTATAAACTGATCTTAATTAGACAACTATTAAAAATGAGAAAGTATTCAATAACTATTTCGTTTTGAAAGGTACTACTCCTTAACAGTGTACATTTATAACACAAAAAATGTAGATGAATAGAGGAAGGAGAATAAATTCATAACATATGAATTTATGTCGCATCCGTTTTTCAATGTTCAATCTGTGTAAGGTATTAAACATTTCTCGATTTATTTAGTGCACGAGCACAACATATAAGATCATAATTTACACTGGAGATTTCATTCCAAGATATAACTTTTGTTGTTTTTTTTTGCAATTTTTATCCGGAAAGTTGAGATGAGCTACAGTGGTATGTTCATAGAAGACATATGCAAAGAACTTTAGATGACTGAAATTAAATTCACAGAGAAAACTATGTTTTTATATCTTGTATTCCCTCACTAAATGAACGGAAAAGTGCTAGATAATGCACTTTAACTGAACATTGGAAAAAGGATGGCTATCCACACACGAATCAATATAACATAATAACATGAATTTTCGTGGTTTCTCATCATCACCTGCTTACAAAAACTGAATAAAATCGTTCAAAAAATTGGTTTTATTGAAATCGTGAACCGATCAATGATCACCATTAAAAACCTGGAAACACCAGACGTCAACTTCTTTCTAGTAAAAATATCTCTAATACTGCGCATCCACGGCTCTTCATTCGTGAATCGAACTAAGAACCTTCGGTCTGAGGCGCGAAAAATAAATCTTTAGACCACTGAGCCGGTATCTAACGTTGTTAATGTCTAACTTAGATCGATTCATGATTTCAATGAAATTCAACGATCTCCACAAGCCCATACCGACAAGAAATTATTAATAAAATGAGGGCTTCGAACTTATTACATTTTTCCTTGAGGTTATTTAGAAGGGCACGGTCGTCAGTTTTGCTTTGCTCTGATTACATCTGCTTTCAACGTGTAGTTTCGTAAAAATTTGTTTGTTCGCAATTAAAGAAGTAATTCCCTTCATGCCTTCTAAAATTTGATCTTAGTTGTGCTAATTTTAATCTTATGGTCAGTCCTGTTTTGTACTTACCAACACATGACTTATAATATCAGTTTTTTTTCTTTATTAAAACCGTCTCTATATGTTTTATAAAGGATTTTTAGAATTTTTATATTATTCAATATATAAAAATTCTCATCATTTAAATCACGAACTGTTACTAACTGAACTACTACTGAAAACCAGGGTGCACTAAATAGCTATTTTGTCCTAGTATGCACCTAGTAGTAAGCCCCTCTTTGAATGTATTCTGTTAAGGTTTGACCAAAATTATGTTCTGTGCAATGGTCATGTGGTGTGGAACCGTCACATAGGAAACAGTGGTTCAGTGATTAATGCACTCAACTTTTGGATACTAGATCATAGGTTCAAACACCACTCTACCAAGTTGGGTTTGGCCGCCCCTATTATTCTTAAGACCTACTTCTACACCAGATAACATCGCCCGTCAAGGTAGGTGGTGGCTACACATGTCTCAACCACCTCAGTTGATAAGGGTTTACTACTTCATCAATTGATTCGCCATCCTTACCTAATACCTTATCTCTAACCCAGACATTGTTTACTGATTGGTTCAAAAATACACGAGAATGTTCTGAAGGCACCTATGATAGAATATTGGTAACCTACAAATATCCTTTATTTTTAAAAGCCACATTTTACAACATTAAGTACATAACTCCGTATCCGATAAAGGAAATAAATAGATAGACAAAATAATTGATCATGCACATCATTTATCAACAACAGGTTGGTGAACTCGGTTTTGAGCTGCACTTTTTATGTGAAGGGTGCTGATATAACACAAATGAACACGCTTCACTGTACAGTGTTAACACTGAATACTACAAAAACATTACACTGAGTACTACTCAGCGATCAATCAGTATAACTAACTTAGTCATAAAGGTGGTCCATCATAGGTCGGATAGCTGGCACAGTGGTAACATAACAAACTATGATGCATGCTCGAATCCCACAGGTAGGAAATCAATTGCTTCAAGAATGAATAGTAAACCTTGTTGAAACTTAAGTTCAGGGTTTCCTAACAACTTCTTTCAACTAATTAAGATCAAAACATAGTGCACACGATATCAAGTTACTTAATTACTAGTAGCCATATTGTAACTTTATCGATAGAATTTAATCAATACATCAAAAACGACTAGACAAACATGACATTAGTTAATACTCAGTGGATCAACTGATATCAACTGCTCTCAGTGTTTACTGGGTAATTTTAAATGCTTTTTCAATTAATTTTAATTTGTGATAATCATAAACAAATTATTCCTAAAAAAAATGTTAGTTCCTAATAATTTTGAAACTGTTCATGCCTTATCATTTTCTTCTACACCTGAAACCGATCATATGAGAGGAAATTGTCAGGAAGTTTGAAACTTGAGGTCAAACCGTTTACGTCTGTATTGCTATTTTAAGTGCTACATTGAGTCATAAATTATTGGAATTCGATACTTTCCTTCTGTTGATATATTTAAAGTAAGATTGGATATTTCACAGTACTATAAAATACAAAGATTAACATAGATCATCGCTTGGTGTCATTCGATGAAGACTTAAACTACCTGATAATAGTAAAAACATGAGACCCATTAGTGGATCTTATGATTTCTGACACAAAAACACTTGAGAAAAATTATCAATAAGTAGATAATAACCCAATCATACTTACTTCTTTCCCTGACATTGTGACACGTACACGAATATGCTGTTTTGGAGATAGATCAATATTAGCTAATGGTTGAAGTCGACCATGTCGACGCTCTAGAGCCCAATAACTAAAATTAAGTTATAGATTATAGAAAAATTAAATTAATCATTAAATAACTACCTATAACTTATTTGTAAAGGAGAAGGTTAGGAGAAGACAATAGAATGAAGGAAAACAGTAAGAAAAATATAACTTGGGTAGTTAAATAAATTCTTTAGCGTGAATGAAGTTATACATTTATTCATTAAATAACTTTTTTAAAGATATACTATAGACGATTTGTAGAAATTGATGAATTTTATCGCTTACATGATGGGTTGATTTTCATTGGACAACTACCTAAGGCCTTTTCGTCCTAACACGGGACTCCTCAGTAATGTGCATTCCCGACCCCTTAGGGGATCGAACCTAGGTCTTCCGAGTTACATGAAGAGCGTTTAAACTTAAGACCACTGAGTTGGGATCTTGCTGTTTAGATATCTAACTTCGATTAACCTGCGATATTGTGCGACCATCTCTCATCCTCTGCGGTGAGTAACTGCCTCAGGCACTCGATATGGTTGAACTCTACTAGTCACCGCTCTTTACTAGAACTCCTGGAATTCTTCTTGGAAAGTAGTCACTGGTAAACGCACATGATTATTATTATAGGAAGTATACGAAAAGTATAGGTTGTCGATATTCTACATAATAAGTCAATAATTGTCACTCGGTGAATTAGTTATCTAGAGGTGTATAGCGCATATATATTTGGTGCCCCCTTGTACCAATATTTATGTGTTCAAATAAATAAATAAGGTGTATTAGCCTAATTCGCCAAACCAAATTAGAACAGAAAAAAATAAACTGAAAAAAAGATTTATGTAGTAAATCATTAACAGTAATATTTATGATGGTACAAAATAAAAACAATGCTAGACGTAGGAAATATAGTTAGAAAAAAGGAAATAAATTATATGGAAGTTGTGTCACATTAATAATCAATTTTGAGTTATGTCACCAAGAGTTTAAGAACACAACCGACCACATTCATCAGATGGAGCCTAATCGAAAAGTTTGTACCTGGCAACATGACTGAAATCACTATTCAAAGATCTCATGGATTAATATCATGTCTTGAATGTGTTAAACCTTAGTTTATTTTTAATTTACTCCTAACACCAATGTGAGTAACTGTTGGGCATGTATAATACATGTCCTAACATTATTTTAATCAATGAAGATTTACACCATTAATTGATACGGTCTCATTAATCAGATGCAAGCTAACTGATAGATACACGCTATTAGCTAAGATTTTGTTTTCTTTTTTAAAGAGTGAGATATACGCCATTGGTTGAATGTGTGGCATAAATTTCTAACGGATATATATATATATATATATATATATATATATATCTGGTATCTATCTATCTGGTTTGCCCAATAAAGCTTCCTTTTCACTCGCAGTGTTCTCAACGACTACCTGGTATAAATTTATATATTGTACCTCAATTTTAGAATCATTATTACTCACCTAATAGCTCGATCATCCCTCGGAGAAATACTTTGAAGATATCTATCATCATATATATTGGTGACTTACACATGTCCACTACTTTCACAAAAATCTGTTTCGTTGTTATACCCCCAAAACAAAGGGGACTACTAAGTATTATTGTACACAACACCTTAAGATAGGTAAATAGATAGACAGAATGAAAAGTATTTGTGACAATGATACACTTGGCCAATCATATATATCAGTTCAAGGCTAAATGATAATTGAGAAATACTAATAAGTGTATGTTATTGGTTCCTTTTTAAAGGAACAGATTTATATTTACAAATAAGTTTATGCATATACCTGGATTCATAGTTAGTCAATAAAAGTTTTTCACTTTTTTTATACTCAAGAAGGTTGTTCAAGCACGTATATTGTAGGTATACATTATCAGTTAAAGATTTGAACTACGGTGGAATATAACAAACTACTACCACCGTTGATTTTTTTATTTTAATTAAGAGGATTTCTACAAAGTGAAAATTTCCACAACCAAATCAGTCATGTGAATACTCTACTAATGACATTCAAAACTATAACAGAACATAAATACATTTTTCATGTTAGTATACAATAAATATCTAAGCTTTTAAAAGCTTTCGTCACATTAAATAAAGCCATTAATAATAATAATAATAAATCAGATGGTAAGTTGTACTTGCTTTTTTTTCTTGACAAATAATCGAATAGGAATTATTTCCTAGGTTGAAATGATCATATATTAATCTGAATCGGAGTACCCTTGAAAACCAAGCAGGACTTAATAGTTGTTTCAATGCTAATATAAAACTTTCCAAAAGTGTGAACTCTGATAATTAATCTTATATCATGTAAAAATAGTTGTTTGAAGCGAATGGTATTGGGTTCGAGTCCCAGAGTGAACATCAACTCTGAGATGCAGGTACATCCAGCTGACGAGTCCCAAATAGGACGAAACGAGAGTTCTGGATTCCACTGCTAGCCACTATCCATTATTGCTTACAAATAGTTGTTCAGTGTTTTTAGATTCTTAATGTTACCCTAATTGTGACAAATACAATCTACAAATTAACCCTGATTCCTGTAAAATTTTATTGATTAACTTATAAGAGTTAATTTTCAATTTTTTATAACTAACCGATTTGGACGTTTATCTGGATCAATTTGACCATAATATCGAACAAATTCTCTTTCAGCACTTTCACGTTCCTCTGAATCAATGACACTTCGATTGTAAGTAGTAAGTTTTGGTAATCTGGCAATTACATGAGCTCGACAATCAGGTTCTACCCAAGACTGAAAATATATAGATATATACACATATGCATATATTTTGTAAAGAAAAGAAAACTTCAAACAAAAAGGATTTTACGGTAAATTCTTACATCTAAAAAATGTTGATGAAAATATTTCTTATACAATTAGTTAGTTATAATTAATGTACGATCTAACACAAAATGTATGTTGGCCAAACTTCTTGTTATGTTTTATGACCCGTCAAATATCAGGTGACAAAATCGTTGTTCAGAACACCGACTTCTAGGACCTTGTCCATGTGCTAAACTAATGATGCGTTAACCAGCACGAGCGGCCTTGAGTCAACTCTCAGTCCCTATTGGTCCTTTGTATAGCAGCTTCTGGCCTAATCTAACCCGTTCGGTCCAGAACGCAATCTCAGCCTCTACTGTTTAATTTGTCTATTCCAGACATACTTGACTTATATACAAGCAAACCAGACCGCATCCAACCATAAAATGAAAAATAATTATTAGACAAAATAAAGCCCAAAGTGCGTGTGAGTATAGGAGACTGTGACTAATAAATATGGAATAAGTTAAGAATAGTAAATCGTATAATAGTAGTCAATAGGTCAAATGAAAGCTTATAATAAATGGAATAGGAACATATGTATATTCTAGATGTTTAATGATTATCTCATAATAATATATGTAATAATAGTCCCTGAAGAATTCCTAGCAGTTATTATTCCTTTATTTTTCATTAGGATATAACACTTCCTATACCATGTTAGCACAATGAGTTGAAAACAACAAAGTGAATATTGGAAAAGAGAAATAATAATAAGATTAGACGTTGGATATACATGAAGGCATACTAGAGCTCAAAATCTAGGGCAAATGTATTTGTGCTATTTTGACCTATTCTAAGCCATTATTTCCTAACGTATTCAATCATTGGTTATGATAATCGAAAGAATTCCAGCTAGATAGTTTGCACCCACTTGCATGACTCAACTAGACAGTCAATGACTTTGTGAACTGATGTCACATTTTAGCTTGACTACAGTCAAATTTCATTCAACCTACTCCTACACTTGTAAACATTAACAAGGAACATAGTATACATGAGATATCACAATTGATTGAGCACTGGGTGGTGATCAATGTCATGTGTGCCAAGTCCTTATTAGTGCAGATTGAATGCTATCGATCATATTGCAATGTGGCCACCAGTCTAGGTGACTCGACACTGCATGCACTATGTTGAGATAGAATGGTGGTTGGAGGTAGTCAACAGGAAACCCTGGACTCGGGTTTCGTGACACAGGATCAAATCCGTCAGAAAGTAACAGTTCCCTTAAGATTACAGGTACACCTTGCTGACGAGTGCCAAGTAGCGTATATACCAACATGAGACTGACCAATTACAGTCCTAAATAACAATGGGAAGATACAAGTAAAACAACACCAAGTGAACTAAAACAGATGAATAAAGAAATTTTCGCACATTCTCATTTCTCTACTTAGATAATGATGGGTAATGAAATGACCTTGAATTGCATGTAACATTGTTGATGCCCATTTTAAACAAGGGAAAAAGATTGTTAATAATTAACAATAATATTAAAGCCTATTACACTAGTAACTAGAATACAAACAATAATACAATGAATTTATAAAATAGAATTAATTTGTACTTATGATTTAAAGTTCATATTGTAAGGGCTATTTGAAATACAATATACAAAATAATTGTTTCACATTGGTCGCAAGTTGTTTATTTTTCTTTCTTTTGGAAGCTAACAGAATTAGATTAACTCATTTAGCTACTTGGTACAGTTTAATTTACTCTATTTAGAAGTATAGTACTCATGTCGGTTAATCGGTTATAACACAATGTGGAACATGACAAATATCTGTATCGATTCAAGTTATTACATTACATTAGTATAGCAAAATGATAAAAAAATCAAGACAAATCCCACAGGAGTAGTGTAGTACATGCTATATATGTTGACAGATTTTAGTAGTACGTAGCAGTAATCAGAAGTGGAATGCCTGCCAGTAGAAGATTGGATTGAAGAGAACAGAAATGTAAACAGAGTAATTGTAATAACAACAGAATTGAAAGGATCATAAAGTATGTCAGGGACAACTGAAGGAAGATGCCCGAATAATGTATTTAATGCATAGTTTTCATATTTTACGAAAGCACTCTGTAATTTTGTATCAAACAGTAAGTTGGTGTTCCACACTAAATCTTGATTCACTACAGTAGTAGTGGTAATAGTATTAATAGGAGTAGATTAGATTAGCTATAGACAATATAGTTCGAGGAGAAGGAATGGATACGTGGAATAAACAGTATAAAAAAATTCCCAAACTTAAGATTTAAAAGAATAGGAAAAGTGAATACATCTGTGCACCATTGGGACTAATTCTGAATCATCTCACTCAACATCTCTTATGATTATCACAATACTAGGACAGATCCCAACCAGTCTTCATATACCAACAAGACTCATTTCAACAATCAATTACTTTATGAACTGATGTCACATCTTGATTTTACCACCTTTCAACCTACATCTACATCAGTAAATACCACCCGTCAAGGTAAGTTATGGTTAGGCATATGTGACATCTACTCAATACCTTTTAATGTTTGATAGTTATCCAGCTAGAATTAGTTCGTAATAGATATAATCATTAATGAAGTAATTTTCCAAAAAAGAGTAAAAGAACCGACAGATAATAACAACAAAAAAACATACCTGAAATACAGGTAAAGTATTGCCTAATCGTAAATTGGTTAAACTAGGCATCCATTCATTCAGAGCATCAATACTTTCCCATTGATTGATTAGTGTTTCTGATAAACCTAATGTATGTACATTTTGAAATAAGCATTGATGCTGATAACAATTATTTCGTGATGTATTGTTATCAGTATTATTATTATTAGTAGTAGTAGTATGCTGAGATATATGTAAATTCTCTTGTGGAAATGGTATATGTTCAATAGGATTACCTAATAAAATCAATTGTTCTAATCCAGGGAAATGTTTACACAAACGACATATTGTCCACCAATTCGATATGCCATTATCGCTATAATATAAACTGTGTAAATGGGGAAATACAGGTAATGGTGTGGCATCATTATCATCATTATGATCAGAAGATACTTCAGTCTGCTCTTCTGCTCCATAGTTATTACGTGCAACGTGTAAATCGGTTAGGCTGAAAATAGATTTAAAAATATGCGAATATTAAATATAAATATTTTTATTAGTGCACGAAGAGGAGGCGGTGTTCTGGAGATTATTGAATTTTGCAGTTTACAACACGGACCGAATATGGTTAAACAACTGTTGAAAACTAGGAAGCACTGAACAGCTGTCTCATCCTAGCATGGAACTCCTTAGCAGTACGCACCCAAGATTAATACTTAAGGTTGAACCCAGGAGCATCATATAAAGGATTTGTACTGCTGAGGAGCCCCATATTATGATGAGACAGTTATCCAGTCCTTCCTAGTTTCGAATGTTTGTCTAAGATCAGTCTGTGATGTAAGCTACACAAATTGTTAGAACGTTTTGTGTTTACGAAGTGAAAAATTTCAAGTATAAAGAGATGTTTTGTTTATCAACGCTGTGATTATATATATATATATATATATATATATATATATATATATATATATATATATATATGAGTATAACGTACGATACATCCTAGATATACACGGATGAGGTCAATTCACCCATCAATTAGATGGTGTATGTGAAATGTTGAATGATTTTACGCATCACTCACTAACTAGTTCTCTAAAATGATGCTAAACTATCTAAAAACTAGTTTTTGGAAAGATTATCTGCACAAATAAATTTTAAGAATATTCACTGTTAAGAAATTTATGTATACATAAAGAGAGTTAACTTAGGCGAAAACAGTTCTATGACTAGAAGCTTTCTCAAGTGATTATTAATGCATTATAGTGCCAGAAAAGTTGATCATATCAAACTTAATTGGTAAATAACGCTAAAACAGACAGATATTTCAATTGTGAATCATTTGAAAGTTATGCGTTGAGTCAAGTAAGAAACATTTTGCGAAAGTCCAATGCTTCCAGGTTTCCGATGGTGGTTTAACATTGATCAGTTCATGATCTCAATTAAAATGATATTTCATTTAAGCTACATTACTAATAGCAGTGATCAATAAATGATCCTTATAACACAGTTTTTAATTTCAGTGTCGCATAAAATCTGTATTTTACGCTCATTTGTAGTTTGAATGAAATTTAATCATTTTCTAAAGTATATGAATTGTAGCTAGCAGTCGAATTCAAGAGGCATACTTTACCTTATTTTTAACTTGTCATCTGAATATACCTGTTACATTTCAACATAGTTGATGTTCCCAATCATAGTTACAGATAAGTCCCAAATAAGATTAAACAAGCGCCCTGAATTCCTCTGTTAGCTACTATTCAACCTTACCGAAATTTATGATAAAATAGCTGTATCGATGCAATACATGGAGAATGCACATGTCTCAACAAACTTGATCGAAAATTCAGTGTTGAATATCAATAATGGAATAATTCAAATCATTACTATTTCTTGATTATATGAATTTTAACAACGTATATTTCCAAGTAAAGTGAGTGTATGAATTCGTCACATAGAAAACGACCCAGTTATTTTTTTAAAATTATATCTGTGTGGATTGTGGGCGCAGGAGTTGTTGAGTAAACATCAACATTACTCAGGCATAGGATCAATTCAAATGACAGATTGCATATCTCAACCTCTCCCCCCCCACACATACAAAATGAAATAATATTTCCATTATAACTATCACGAGATACTTCTGGCTGTATAGTTTAATAATAGTAACTTCGTTAAAAATAGATTACCTCATGACAAAAGCTTCCTTTGTTATAACTCACTTTGGTAGTCGATAAAGCAGATCAATCACCCAATCCCATGGTACATACGTCGAATTCAATGCTAGTACACTTAAACAAGGAAACACTGTGGTAGGAGATATAATACCGGAATTTAAAGCCAGTTCAGATGGAGCTGAAGGATGCTACAAATTTAATAGAAAAATGTTATATATAAAGAAAATTAAGTTGACGGTAACATGATAATACACATATGATAAATACATTATTACCAGATTATTATACAATAATCATGAAGCTTGGCCAATAGTGGATTAGTTCAAATTGTTGCTCATATAAACAGAAAGCAAATGCTTGAGTTATATTGGGGCCCGTGTGATCAGGCCGTAATTACAGGATAGCAGTTGTATGATCTCTCTCTAGTCCGATTATCGATTTGTTCACCCATGTTGCCTGGATGGTCAGTGACCAACGAACAACAGATAACAACTAAATACTTATTAATCCTCGAATTCCTTCTAACCTAGCGTCTAACCAGAGGACAAGGATAAAGAACAGATTAGAGTTAACATGAAGTATACAGCCGAACCAATGAGGAAAAAAAGCCTTTTAAATTCATAGCACAAATATCAAAATAGGGATAGAATTTGGTGTTGAGAATTGGGAGTTAGAGTTAGGCTTTCTATAACAATAATTCCAGGATCCTAATATCCGTATTTTAATCTGAATTCTTAGCATTAAAAACTATCCAATGATCTCTGTCGTCCCCCAACCAACTAAAACCGGTTAAAACTCTGAGGTCGTTCGGCTGTATACTTTATGTTTACCTAAATTAGTTATATATATATATATATATATATATATATATATATATATATATATATATATATATATATATATATATAATCTTGCAAAATACATTCATTTCATCTGTTAGACCAGTTTGAAATTATTTTAGCTAGGTTTTCTACCATCTGATTTACACCCTTCTTAAGTTTAACAAAACTTTCCTATACACATAGAAGTAAAACTAATGAGAGACTTTCCGAGTAAACAATAACTGTAGGACAGTTATAAACAATGTGAAGCCTGATAAAAATGTGGATAAGTTCAAGTTACCGCACTATATAAGGACGATGTGAAATTAAGATGGGTAATAATTCAGTCGCAATAATCATAATAAGGACTAAACATTGAGGATATGATTCGAGAAGGAATGTAATGGTATGTACAAACGAATACCAGAATAGCTTTTGAAGAAAAAATTGATGCAACCGCGTCAGTATGAACGATTACGTGTCATATCACTTAACTTTTCCAACTACCCATAGAGGTTACTGCATCGATCGTAACCGGATGTAGTCTGCGCCTACCAACATGACTCAGATCAACAGTCAATGACTCCATAGACCGATAATAAATCTTGATTCATCCACCCCTAACTTTCTCCCAACCTTTTATAACTACAAAAAAGCATTTAAAAATTGTGTAACATTCAAATGAAACCAATACTAATGCAAGAAAGAAATTCAGTGGTTCTTAGTTTGCTTCATTTATTCGTTGATGGATATTAGTTCTTAATGTTTAAACAAATCGAACTCGTAAAACAACTAGTTTCAATCTTACATTAAAAACATTGATCAGATCAAACAAGCAATGAATATTATTGTATAACTGATTTAAAGTATTTATACCAATCTTCAGAAAAGGAACAAATTAATAATAGCTCGACGACAAAGAAGTTATTTAAAATAAATAAATATTAGGTTCCGCCAATTGAAATTTCACTATTCAATATCAGTGATTTATTTATTTATATAAACAAAACAGGTGAGAATTGATTTAGTGAATAGAACTATATATATATATATATATATATATATATATATATATATATATATATATATATGCATACAAGTTGTTTGATCATATGATGGCATAATGGAATCTTTCGTTTGAGTAAATCATGCCAATCACCTGATTATACAATTAACTTCCTTGTATATGCATGTTGTTATTATTGTTGTAATATTTGCATTGGAAATTAATTGTAAATAAAGAGTAGAACGAAATATATACAAAAATTTGCACAAATTTAAAGCGAACGGAAGAAGGATAGTAATGAAAATAATAGTTTTGCGCAAAGAAACAATAAGAAATATTCGGGTAAGGAAGAAAATGTACTTTTTATTCACGAAAAATACATTGCGATAGAACTTAGCTATCATTAATTTCGTTTGTTTGTCGACTTGTACTTTTGAAAGATATTTAATTTCTGAGTCATTTTAAAGTGAAACAATATATGATGGGTATGATGGTGGTGAGGGGAATTAAATCCAAACCTACAGTTGTAAAATTACTAGTACCGTACAAATATCCTTTACTTTTAAAGCACAAACTCCACAACCGTAAAGTAGAACAGAGCGAACTACCGCATGGTATACTCGCCCTTTTGGTTGACAACCGAATATCTCACATACGCTACTAGTGACACAAGTTGACAACTCAGGCTTTATCAGACACCATTCGTCCAGGGTTGATGAGAGTTCCAAGTGAAGTGAACGACACGTTCAAATACTTCACTCGTTATCATCAGTTTAGGCATTACCGCAGAAGTAAAAACACTAACAGTAGCCACAATTAAAAAGACCAAATGAAAACATAAGAGATGAAAATATAGAACTGAGTACTGGAAACTCAACTTAAGACAGAAAATAAATAAAATCTACACCCCTACAATTGATTTTCAGCCATATAACATAGTTTACAAACCGTTGTTTACGGTTATCACGAAGACTCCAGAAAGGAATCCTACAACTTTCTATGCTGACCGTCACAGTATTTAGAAGTAGGTGGTTGAGCATAGGGACAACATATTCCGACCGTCCCAAGTTTAAGGTTTCAATAACTTAACTTAGTATCCTACAGCGAGTAGAACCACTTCTTAAGTGATATTCCCCTCATACTCTAGCAATGATTGGGAGAAACTTATGTTTACACAGTTATCTTATCTATACCTTGTGATGAAATACCAGGTTGTATTTCACACTTATGCGTTAACACAGAAATGAATTTCAAGCCTAATATAAAATATACTAATTCACAAGGAGGTTCCGATTCTGAAATGATCTTACTTTAAACGATATTAAAATGCAGAGAGAAACAATAAAATAGTTTCACCCAAGTTTTGCGATTTTTCATTCGTACTTAATACTTACAACTGTTTTCGGGAACCGGAATCAGACTATCCAGTTTTTTATTATAGACACTGTGCTTGAGTTGAATGACTGAAGCATTCATTTTAACAAGTTTTAGATTGAAATTAAGCAATTTTCTATTAATCTTTAATCCTCAATAATTAATTATTTTGATAAAGTGATGAGGGAAATAAGTTTGTCAGCGCTGTGTAATTTACTATTACAAAACATTTCGAGTAATGTGATCAAACAAAGTGACTTGTTAATATATATATATATATATATATATATATATATATATATATATATATATATATATATATATATATATACCAAAAAAATATGGAAATCATCTTCAGACGGATCAAGCCCATCGAATAAACATTATGATGGCTGAGTAAATAAATAAATGATTCCGAATTAATTTTCTTCACGGGTCAAACTCAACTGGGTAACTATCGAAAACCAAAAGACGCTGAACAAATGTTTTGTTCTAGTTTGAGAATAAATTTGGAAATTTAAAATACTTGGTCACGACTCAATTTCCTAAACGATATGATTCCTATCGGGATTGTAAATATACACTTCTGGAGAGTCCAAAAATTGAAGGGGGTGACTATCCAGAGCTATCTGGCTTCAAAAATTCCCCAATTGAGATTATTCGATGACGAAAGTCGTCTCAAAATTGGACTGAGCTCCATAACTAACCAATTCAGTATATAAATGAAAAAAAATCAGTCTAACGGTTTATAGTTGATAGAACACTTACCTTTGGTAATGTTTTCAAGTTAGATGGTTCATTTTCTCCTGTTTGTTTGAGATAACCATTACTAGAAACACTATCATCATTTGGATGATTAGTCGACTTAATTTTTTCTATTGAATCATTAATAGATTCATTGTGGAAAATTGGTGAAAAATCAATCTCATTATGTTTAGATTGAAGTATTTTATTCGACTTGGACGATGACGACAGTTTGTTAAAATAAAAATAATTTTGATCCTGCATAGATAATTCAGAGCTATTCATAGGTTGAATATTTTCTTCTCCTTCAGTAGATAATAAACCAATAGTATCTTCATCAAAAGATGAATTGGAAGACTGGTTATCAGAGATATGATAACCTAGTGGATTTTGACTTAAATTTAATGATTCAAGTTTTTCAAGCCAACATAGAATTTTAAATACCTAAAAAGACAGAACAAGCAACATATAAACATCACGAAATATTAATCAATAATAAATATTGTATGGATACTTTCATATTACAGTGCTGCCATATATTTGCTAATTAATAAGAAACTGAGTGAACTAATTAGTTAAATGATAATTATCTAAACGGCGAATAGTTGATTTGCAACTTTAAAGCTAGATTAAGTGAAACATCCGGCCATTCCCTTATTATTGAAAGACAAGCTCCATAGTATTTAGTAAAAATTTAGAAATAGCTGATTTTTGCGTTGAGTTAGATGTTTATTAGTGTAAACAGTATATCTGCCCACCAAAAACTTCAATGAAGCGATATTCAGCCCCAAACTTACAATACGTGCCTACCTTTGAGATCGATTTGCTGAGTTTTTGCAAGCTATATTTGAAACCAAATGCAACAAACATTAGCTTGTGATCTGTCAGTAATATTAACCTATGCTTCAAACGAACTTATAATACTACGTAGCATAAAAAGCCAAAATAAATGTTTACTACCTTATCTGATTACATTTTATGTTGAGGTCAAAGACCGGGATAGATACATACTGAGTTCCTCCATTAAGCCTAAAAATACATGAGATACATCTGTTTAGAGTACAGTATAATCGTTAATAATATTAGGTATAACAGACCATTATATATCGCGCTTACTGATTTTAAAATGTTCACAACCAATCGTAGTAATCACAATAGTTTCTTAGTTTTACCAATAGTTAGGTTTCCTTGTAACCACACTAACATTCTATAAGATGACTGATGCAACAAAGAAACCAAATAGTTTGTGCTGAATGAACTACTTTCGAACTGGACTAATAAGACTGATGCAGACTACATATTGCCTTAGTAGAAATCATTGACAGATAACGCAACCCGTGCATCCTAGTTTTTAAACACGGTACTGCTAAACAACATTATTGATGCCGACCATAATTAATGAGGCTTAGAATCTTTGGAATGAGCTCATAGAGAATTACTTTATACTGTAATACCAGTAAAGTATCTTATATCTTCTAAGTTAACTTTTCTAGCATTATTTAATAATAATAACCCCCTACTCCAGCTATAATTATTGTTTTGTTTTATTAAGGTGGTCGGTTCTACCTTTTTGTTACAACACACAAATTAAGTAAACTGTTACAACAGTCAACATACAGGTTTATGACTGATGAGCCCCATAACTGTTAGCCTAGTAATACATTTCAAGACAAAAAGCTCTCTAGAAAGCGGATGTGATTATATATGCACAACTAGCGCCTTGAGTATCAGGATAAAGCCACTATTGTTTTATTAAACTTAATGTCTTGAAATTTAGACTTATCAATGAAAAAACCGTCTAAACTTTGGCTGGATATCAAATTATAATTATTCAGAGCATAGAAACACACCTCTTCAAATGAAGACAACCGATTACAAGCCAGATCTAACTCCCTAACATGTTCAGCTGCTTTTAGCAATTCATCCTTGCAACCAATGCTCTTTATATCTTGAGAGTCCATTGTTAATGTCCGAGTAGGAAATAAAATATTCGATCCGTCACGATTACATGTCTTTTGAATGTGGCCAACTAAAATGTGGCTTTCTGTTAACTTTTCCTGTTTCCTCTGTATCGCATCGACAAGAGTTGCCATCTTAGAAATAAATGTATTAACAACAAAAACAGTTGAGTGAGCGCTGGACCATAAAGTTCATTGAAACAAAGCGATAAAAGAAAAAACCAGTTTTAAGGTTGCATATGATCGTTCACAGATATATGAAGAACATCACATAATTATGCAGATAATCATGGCGTCTATTGGTTTTTATTTGATGTTCTTGTCTGGACTGCAAACATTGAGATAACGATGGTCAACGAACTTCCGATACTTCTCTTCGTTGAAATAACGATTACGAAGTTAATTTATTAGCTTCAGTATTTATCGTTACTTTGCGTTCTGTGTTGCTATTTTGACGATTACTTTTCCTGGAAAAAGCTTTAACAAATTAAGACAAGCTTATCCTAGCGCCGAACTAAGAACTAAAAAGATCACGAAAAAGCTAACTAGCTTTATTGTGAATATACTTTTAAAAAATGTAGTGAGGACAAGAACATTAAGTTTGAAATCAATGTTCAAATGGTTCAAATGGTTGTGGACGGAATAGAAGAAGCTTTCGCTTAACAGGCTTCCGTGTCTAGTAGCAGGGGATCACCAATACCTAGGTATATTAACGATAAAACAGAAAAAAAAGAAATTAGTAAATCATTGTAAGATGCTATCCTTAGTCCTTAAGAATAGATCAAGTCGCCTCTTAAAGGACTCTTGGGAAGTTGCTTGGACTAGCTCAGCTGGCAGCGAATTCCAGCATTTGACAACTCTTAAGGAGTAGAAGTTGTGTCTGCACTCCATTCTACTATGTTGTATCTCTAATTTCTGGGTGTTACCCCTTAGGTTAGTGTTGGAATTAAGCTTAAGTAGGTGTTTGAGAGAATGTCCAGGTGTGTTAAGGATACTGTAAGCCATTAGAATGTCACCTCTAAGACGCCTATACTGTAATGGGTAAAGGTCGAGTGATTGAAGGCGCTCATAGTAAGGTTTAAATTTGAGTCCCCGGACTGAGTTCGTGGCTCGCCGTTGGATACGCTCCAGTGTGTCCTTATCCTTTTGGAGTGTAGGAGGGAATACTATGTTTCCGTACTCTAAGTGGGGACGTATGAAACTATTGAAGATTATGTGGAAAGTTCTCCCGTCAAACTGACCAAAAATGCGCTTCAATGTTACCAGTGCAAGGTTTGCTCGAAAGGCATTTTTGTCACGGTCGGCGTAAGACTTTAAGTCGTAGGGCACCAGAACTCGTAAATCTTTTTCGACTCGGGATACTACTAGAGAGGAGTTTCCTAAGTTGTAACTGTAATCTGCGACGTATCGCAGATGGACTACTTTACACTTTGAAGTGTTAAAGGTAAGTCCGTTATCATCTGCCCAACTTTGAAGTCGAGTCAGATCCTCCTGAAGTGCCTGTATGTCCTCTTGGTTGCGTATCTCTCTCCAAAGTTTCACGTCATCGGCAAAGAGCAATATGTCTGACGTTACCTGTTGAGGAAGATCATTTATATAAATCAGGAAGAGGAGAGGTCCTAGTACTGAGCCCTGGGGGACCCCACTAGGACATTCCATAGCCTGTGAGAAATTGAAGTTTACCCTGACCGTAAAATGTCGATTTGTCAAATATGAACTGAGCCAGTCAATTAAAGGAGGTTTGATACCCAATTTTCTGAGCTTATTGATAAGACATATGTGGCTAACCCTATCAAAAGCTTTAGAGAAATCAAGGTAAATGATGTTACCCTTCCCCTTGCGACCAACGATGCTTGTCCATCTGTCCACCGCGGTCAGCAGGTTAGTCATACAGGAGTAACCCTTCCTGAAACCATGCTGTTGGGGTGAGAAGAAATTTAAGGACAGCAGATAGTCATGTATATCATCGTATACCAGGGACTCCATGATCTTTGAAGGTATAGAGAGAAGGGCCACCGGTAGGTAACTTGAAGGTTCGCTGAGTCGACCTCCTTTGAAGATTGGTGTGATATGAGCCAGGTTCCAAATATCCGGTAGTTCGCCTCGACTTAGCGAGTGTGAGAACATCACGCTAAGCGGTGTTGCCAGGATTGAGGCTGCTTCCCTCAGTATAGCAGAGTGGACCATATCTGGACCAGGAGAAGTGTCTGTTCTTAGGTGTTGTAGTTTACGGAACACCAAGTCAGCGCTCAGTTTCACTACGGAAAGTCCTGTGCAGTTGCAGATAGAGCCGTCATCAGTATAGTTGATGTGGGACGATTGAAATGTCCGGGAGTATTGCTCAGCCAGGAGGTTAGCGGCGTCATCGTCATTATTGATCGGGCCGTTAGGACCTAGCAGTTGAGAAACTCCAGTTTTGGCCTGACGCAGAGAGGCTGCGTAACGGAATAAGCTTTTCGGATTGGAAATAAATTTATCCATAAGCTTTAACTGGTACTGAAGCCTGTCTTCTCTTATAGCCTTCGTACATATGTTCCTCATATGTTTGTATTGCCTGTACTCGCTGTTGTTGTTGGTTCGTTTGTATTCTGCCCAACAGTGCCTTTTACGGCTTAGCAAACGAAGAGTGCTGTTTTTGATGATTTTAGGTTGCATGTGGCTTTTGGGGACCGTTTTAGGGACTGACTGCTTTGTAGCACATAAGAGCGTGTGTAATAGGAAGTTCCAATGAGCATTCACATCAAGTTGAGGGTGAACATCCCAATGCACCTGTTGCAGATAGTCCTGTAGAGCTGACCCATTCAACTGTTTGAAATTCCAGTGCATGTTGTTGGGATATCTTAGCTCAGTTTTGCTGACGAAACTGAAGGCTATAACGGCGTGATCGCTTTTCCCCAGGGGAGGCAAAATTGAGAGGTTGTCGACTAGAGATTCTTCATTTGTAAAAACACAGTCAAAGTGAGACGGTGTCTGACTGTTCCTCCAAGGAGTAGCCAACTTCACATTTTCGTGTAGTCTCAGATCCTCAATGAGGTTGAAGAACCGAGCTTTAATTGAATTTTCACCTTCAGTATACGCATGTTACGCGAAGTTGATTTTAAGGAGATTGGAGTCCCCTAGAATCAGGATATGAGTGAAGCCGAGACGCGTAGAGCGGGATAGTTCTTCCAGCATGCGACTGTCATACTCGATGTCGGCAGTGGGCTTCCTATATATGACTCCGACCTCGAAGTAGTGGACAATCTCATAGAACACCATATGGGTTCCTCAAGATTGTCAAACTCATGGTTGTGAACTTGGTGTACCTCCAAGCCAGGTCGTATGTTCAGGGATACTCCACCGTCAATTCCGGTTTTTCTGTCATTGCGAAACAGAGACATCCCAGGTATTGCTAGCTCCTGGTCCGAAAAGTGAGAAGATATTCCTATCAGATGAACCTTATTAGTGTTGCTAAGTTCACTTAGTTCATCCATTTCATTTGGTAGACTCGCGGCGTTAATGTATAAACAGTTAATGCTTTCAATTTGAAACGCGTGAGCTTCTTCCTGTTTGTCTGTGAGAGCCTTACGTGAGTAAACAGGTAGCCCACCTATATAAGTTTTGTCGAATTAGTAGACCCTGTCCTTTACACTTTTTTTATCTTCAAGACAGTCCACAAGTGGAATGGTCAGCTCCAGCTTGCCTTTGTGCTTGATCCTGGCGTTATATGACCTGTCCGGGTGTATGTGGATCCCAGTTGGCAACCGACGTCTGTTGACACGAAAAGCTTCCAGAGCTGCAGCCGCCATATGGGAGGATGGAAAAGTTATCCTCATTAGTCGGGGTCTAGGATCCCCGTCCCTCTTGGCTAGTCTCATCACATGCTGAGTCAGTATGTTTTTAAGCCTCAAGGACTGTTTGACGAATTTCCATTCCCGAATTTCAGAGTTTGCTTGAGTAGGGTCCATGTTTTCCGGTACACCTTGCACGACGATATTTCTTTCGTGGGAAAAACTTCGCTCGAGAATCTTTAGGGACGTTTCGGATGAGATTGCGCTCAGAATACGGTATGTCGGGCAGTATTCTGACGTTCCCATCGGATTTCAGTAGATAACTAGCTAGCAAGGCGTCCTCTACTTCGGTAGCATTCTTGAGTGTTACACGGAGTAGTCTCAGGTGATTTTAATGTTTAGATTCCTTTCCCCGAGTGAGCCGTGTGACCGTCAAAGGCTCTATTCTAGGAAGTTCGAGATTTTTGTTCAATTCAACCCAGAGCATCCTGTCATTCTTGTCCTGCAAACTGAGAGGAAGGTCAGGGTTGTCTATGAAGTTCATGATTATGAGAGAGTCATCACGGACCGTTATTGTTTTCCCAAGTTTTCCGGTGAGTTCAGGTTCAGTACTTTGTGGTTTAGAGGTCAAAGCAGGTTTTTGAGTCGTTAGCTTTTTGATAATCGGGCGGACGTTTTCGGGGGTAGACTGAGCGATCAAAGCACCAGTTGGTGTCCGAACAACACTTGGGATGTCAACCTTAGACGGTCACGCCTGGTCCTTATCAGCTCTGTTGGCGTCGGTGCAGTCACCTGGAGAGTTTTTAGGAACCACTGTTGCGTTTAAGGATCCCAAACTGAAAGATCCAGGTTCAGTGAGGGATTCAATTACCGTCGACGTAATGATGGTGCTGAGTTTCAACATGTCATCATTAGTGCTAATGCGTGTTCCATCGATGGTAGGCTTATCGACGTCCCTATTCTTATTTTCGTTGCGCGCCCTTGTTTGTCTACCTACTTTATGGTTATCTGTTTCCAAGTTTACTGACAATTAGTTCCGCAGACCTGTCAGTAGAACAATGATGTTGCTCAGCAGTACTACAGCGTCCGTGTTGCACGTAACACACGCCCACTTACGATCCGATTTGCTGAGTCTCTTGTAAGCAGTTGCCGTAAGATCTGTGCATGTTTTGTGGAACCAACCTTTGCAGTTGTTGTACTGTATGCCAGATGTAACAGCGAAACGGCATCCAGGTCGTTTGCATGAATTTTTCATGGCTGTATTTGCGTAAACTGTGTTAGAGATAGTATCAAAGCTTAAGACCCTTAAAAATACACTAAAAACGGGAAAAATGTATAAAAACGGATGAGATAAAATGAACTAGCCTTTACGTGAAAAACTGAAAAAAAACGAATAGTAAGCTGAGGCAAAACCACAGTTAACT